CCAAAAGATCCTCAAAAGCTAGACATCATGCCGAGATCCAAAGAAATTCAAAACCAAATGAGAAAGAGAATAATTGAGCTCTATCAGTTTGGAAAAGGTTATAAAGCCATTTCTAAAGCTTTGGGACTGCAGCGAACCACAGTGAGAGCCATTATCCACAAATGGCGAAAACATGGAACAGTGGAGAACCTTCCCAGGAGTGGCCGGCCGACCAAAATTACCCCAAGAGCGCAGCGACAACTCATCCAAGAGGTCACAAAAGACCCCACAACAACATCCAAAGAACTGCAGGCCTCACTTGCCTCAGTTAAGGTGAGTGTTCATGACTCCACCATAAGAAAGAGACTGGGCAAAAATGGTTTGCATGGCAGAGTTCCAAGATGAAAACCACTGCTGAGCCAAAAGAACATAAAGGGCCGTCTCAGTTTTGCCAGAAAACATCTTGATGATCCCCAAGACTTTTGGGATAATACTCTGTGGACAGACGAGACAAAAGTTGAACTTTTTGGAAGGTGTGTGTCCCATTATGTGTGGCGTAAAAGTAACACCGCATTTCAGAAAAAGAACATCATACCAACAGTAAAATATGGTGGTGGTAGTGTGATGGTCTGGGGCTGTTTTGCTGCTTCAGGCCCTGGAAGACTTGCTGTGATAAATGGAACCCTGAATTCTGCTGTGTACCAAAATATCCTGAAGGAGAATGTCCGGCCATCCGTTTGTGACCTCAAGCTGAAGCGAACTTGGGTTCTGCAGCAGGACAATGATCCAAAGCACACCAGCAAGTCCACTTCTGAATGGCTGAAGGAAAAACAAAATGAAGACTTTGGAGTGGCCTAGTCAAAGTCCTGACCTGAATCCAATTGAGATGGTGTGGCATGACCTTAAAAAGGCAGTTCATGCCCGAAAACCTTCCAATGTGGCTGACTTACAACAATTTTTCAAAGATGAGTGGGCCAAAATTCCTCCACAGCGCTGTGGCAGACTCATGGCAAGTTATCGAAAACGCTTGATTGCAGTTGTTGCTGCTAAGGGTGGCCCAACCAGTTATTCGGTTTAGGGGGCAAACACTTATTCACACAGGGCTTTGTAGTTTTGGATTTTGTTTTCCCTTAATAATAAAAACCTTCATTTAAAAACTGCATGATGTGTTTACTTGTGTTATCGTTGACTAATATTTAAATTTGTTTGATGATCTGAAACATTACAGTGTGACAAACATGCAAAAAGATAAGAAATCAGTAAGGGGGCAAATACTTTTTCACTATACTGTATTATTGCTAAGGGTTAACACATACCCACATATATTCTTGCATACACGTAGGTGATGTGGACTCATAGGTGTGTGATTGATTTTGATTATTGAGTAGAATTTTGGGATAAATGTGTGATACTGGAAGAAGATCTTTAGTCTCCAGCATGATGTATTTCTCCTGCAAATGTTATGATTAACCAGTGAATGTTTCCTACATGTTGTTTAGACATTTCCACATTGTTTGAAAAATGCTATAATTGCAATGAAGACCAGCTTACACATAGACGCTTACATATAGGATCACAGCAACAAAGACCAGCTTACATGCCATCATTTTTTACGTTATTATTTCAGATTTTTCCCTAGGTACTCCAGCTCTGGGCTTTCCCTGGAGGGGGTGGTATGGGGGGGCCTCTCTCCTCCTTGGATGCCTAGTCTGGGGACAACAGGGACATTTGATTTAGGTTGACATGATAAAAATCGTGTCAAAAGGGGGAATTTGTTAGAAATTAATAAATTAGCCAGATAATTATTAGACATTAATGTCTTAGACTTTAATGTATTAGTAATGCAATTTAGTAAGATTAAAAGTCTGCTCTAGTCTGTTCTGTTTGAAGCTTAGCAGCAAGCCATCACACCAATTGTTTTCTTGTATTAATCTTGTTAGATTTGTGTCTGATTGTTTTAGTTACGCACCACGTAACAACATCCACACACATCGAGCTACCTCATTTTGTTATGACTAGGTAACACGCAGCTGCTCCAAGCCTGTGGAGCTCTAGATAAGAGATGGAGTC